AGCAGCTGCAAAATCAGCATAAAACAAGCAGTGCCTGACGTTCTCTGCGGAAAGTGCCAAGCACTGAGATCAGGGTGGCAAATCCTGTCCCGATCATATGTCAAAGCTTCAAACAATCGACATCTGTGGAGCCGGTGGAGGGGATCGCGGTCGCAAGTCGCATGCGCCAGGGTCTGGACTCTTAACCCTAAGCCGCAACTTCTAAGCCCTAAACCCTTGTTAGCAATCCTCGCTTTTTGGAGAAGCTTAGCTGCAAAACGTGTAAGCGTTTAAGGTTTAGTGATAGGAATGACTGACAAGACCCTGACAAGACAGGTATAACAATAAAAACAAGGACAACACGGATGGCGATGCTGCTCATAAGCAGCACGATGCTCTTTTGAGCCAGCACGAACTAGCATAAATGAAGCGGAATCTGAGGACACCCATCATAGTATCAGCTCCTTCCAAGCACAAGCACGAGTCACAACCTTAGTCAACGCAGAATAACCACAATAGCACTTTCAGCGATAGCAAGGATAGTGACATAGCCTCCATACACACGGACAAGCAACGCAATCAATCTCCAGTCGCTGATGAGCCGAGCGACCGAGGTATGCACATGTCAGTGGTGTCTGGTATTTCGGTGCTTGAAGCTTGAGGACTGACCGAAGAATTCGATGCTCCCACGACCCAATCCACCTTTCGAACAGTGGCGGTCCCGAATGCGTCATGCACCGGCGGAAGGCACTGCGACATAAACGCTGCAAGCGTCAGCAACAGAATGGAACCAACACCAGCAACAAATCGTTTGAATGAATCAGTCCGTCGGCTATCTTGCCCACAGCTTCTGCATCAGCGACGCTTGCGATCCTTCAGGAAGAAGTGTGTCTGAGCTTCTTGGAAGCTGCATAAATGTCAAAGGGTGCTGCAGGGTCATCTGCTCCTTGCCCATGAACCCGGTCAGCACGAAGATATGGCAACCCAGCCAACACAAGAGTCACGCAAAAATCGGCGACCCGGCAAAGTCAGACAAATTAGAACTTCTTGGTAGAACTTCTTGCCCTGTGTCAACCGTCTTCCGGCTCCAGAGGAACCTGTACGACTGCCGAAAGCAGAAGATGTGCCTCCAGCACAATTCCATCACAGCTCAGGACATCCCAGCGGTGGAAGGACATGTACTTCTTCTGTGAGCAATCCAAGCTGAATCGCTGCCCGCTTATGGCTCGTTACACTGCTGGGGTGCCGCAACCATGCTGCAGTGGAGCAACGCAACATGACAATATAGGAGGGAGTTGCAGTCTTCCATTATAGTCTCTAGAGGACACCATCAAGATTCAATCAATATTTAGTTACTGCAAGTAAGTCTAAAACAGCTGGCGGCACAGAGAGTGCTGCAGCCACGTGCAGCGTCTGCCGAATCGGCACCAAGCGAGGCTCCGAATCACGTGGTGGTAGTGCACCCACTCGGGCACACGTTTCTCTACAGGAAATTTTCCTGGAGCATGGAAAACCTGGCCTTCGTCTGTCGAGCTTCCACGATGGAGCTCAACAGCTTTCCAGCCCATTACCCCACCACCCAAACCCTAAGCGTTAAAACCTGACCTACTTCTCCGGGATCACTTTTGAAAAGTCGGCCTCCGTCGATATGAAGCGGCGGAACGGGAGGTGTTGCAAGAAACCTTAGTGCCGAAAGTGGTCTTGTCGTTTAGAGTGAAGTTCAGGACTCTTGTTGCGTACTCTGCTTACAACGAGCCCGCCCGAGTCTGCAGGGCATGTTGACCCAAAGACGCCGTCCACGGGGGTGCGAGCCTGTTCTTGGGTACTTGTATTGGTGCCCGCAAATGTCAGTCAGACCTCGACAGGCGAAATTCTCGCTATGAGGTTTCGGAGACCCGTCGAAGTGTGAATGTCACCTTGCTGATGATGGCGCTGGTAATGGCGATGATGATCATGATGATGCTGTGATGTTGATGATAGGAAGACGAAGGTGACTCTGAAGACGAATAAGGGTAGTCGTACGCGAAAGTGACTAAAACACTCGGAATATCGCGGGCCCATGTTTGTCACGCCTACTGGAGTCGGCCTTGCCACACAATGGCTTTTGGTTTCTCCACTGAGCCGCCCAGCCCGTGTTGCAAGCCCTAAACTAAAACCCAAGGGTTTCGAGCTGCCCCCGGAGATGTTGATGACGATTGTCGACGTGGCGGTTGAAGGTGATGATGCTGCTGTTGCGGAAGCTGGCGACGATGATGGGCCAGATTTTGCTGGGTCCAGTGAAGAGGGACCGGTGTGTGGCGTGGAAGGGCTGTGTCACCAAGCCAACAAAATTAATTAGCATTGGGCATTGTTGTTGCCGCCCACTTTGCGGAAGCCATGATCACAGTTCTGTACTAGAACCAGCAAGTGCTGCAGAGAGCACTCATCTCGAGTCTTCAAGCTTAGGTGCGTTCTGTTGTCTAGTGACTGAGCGTCGTCTGAATCCCAGTTTGTACAGGTGTGTCCCATTCACGCCTCAATGATCGAACGACACAAACCATAGGGAGATGCCCAGGGGCTGTTGTGATCAAGGCTTGCGCGCCGGTGCTCTTCCTGCAGTGGCAGGATCCCAGTCCGAATGTCTACGATGTGGCTCAGCCGAGACGTCACAGGCATTGAACCGGCTTTTCGTAACCGCCTGTGCGACGTATAACAGTATAACAAAGCTAACAGTCAGGAGCTAAGAGTGCTCATGTCGAAACCTCCCAAACCCCACAGCTAAACCTGACTCAAGCTCGACTGGAAAACGGCCTCGGGGTCTTCTTTCGGTGGCATCTGCCACAAGTCGGTGACCACCTCCATCTCGTTCCTGAGCTGTGGGGTTCAATGTCGTTCTGGCGATGTGGTTTAAGGTTCATGGTTCAGGCCAGGGTTTAAGGGGCAAGGTTTAAGATTCCCTATCCAGGCCGTAACCCCTTCTGCATACCCCCCAAGCCAAGGTTTGAGAGAGGCCCTACAGAGTCTCCCAGCTGTGCAGAGCGGAACATCACATCATGCACTGATTGTGTCAAGCTGCATGCAGTTCACGACCTTCTGGGCGTAGTCCTGCAGCGGCGAGAGCCCTAATCCTTGCTTAAATCCTGGCTTGAGGTCTAAGGAGCAAAAGCTGAAGAAACTCCAAGTCCGCAACCGCTGAACTCGAAGGAAATCCAGAACTGAAACTCCGCTAAGGCATGATAAACGCCAAAGGTTTCTGTAGTTGTACGGTAGAGAACGCAAGGAGTCTGAAAAGCCTTTAGGGCCCCCGCACAAGCCAAGCTCTGCCCGTTGAAGGAGCGGCGGATAGAGGCGGCGAACTTGTCGACCTGGGGGAAAACATGGCAAGTAATTCTGTGGTCATATACTAATACTACTGCATTATATTGGTATATTCTTATAGTATTATACATTACTGCGGCTTGCAAGTTTAGACGCTCACTTCAGGGTGTAGGGCCCGGAACGTCAGGCTAATCTGTTCTACGTGTTACAATCCCAGCAAATGACCCTCTTCGCGTGATAGTGCGCCCTAAATGCACCCTGTTCTTCGGGTAGCAATGCGGTTTTGCTCGCGGGACCTCGAGCAAGACGAGGCCGGAAACGTCCTCAGACGAGGCGTGAACGGCCAAAACACAACAACAAAAGAGCAGCAGCACTGTTCTCCAGGCCGCGAGCGGACGTTAACCAGTGTGGCCAAGGCTCCTCCGTCGTGAGCTCACCTGCATAGGCAAGCCAGGCACATCGTTTTCAGTCAAGACTTCTGAACCCGGCCTAGGTGAAGCCAAGGGATCCACAAGCTCATCTCCACCAGCCTTAGCAGTGAGAAAGGTGTGAGGTAAAACAACAGCATCAACTGTGCGGACCTTGAAGTGCTTGCTAGGTTGGAGAGTCGCAGGCTGCAGAGTCTGCGTGCCCAAGATACCCGGGGTCGAGAGATGCTACGAAAATGAACCCTGAGATCTTAAATCCCAGAGCTTCTCTTGCGCAGCATCCGCGCTGTGCAACGGTCGGCAACCCAACCATGCGTCCAGTCCAAGTAGCCATGCAGGTTCCTCAGGCGCTCCTTGCAAACGCACCTTGTAGCCGCTCAGCTCATAGGCCAGCATGCCTGGGACGACCGTCGACGGGTCACAGACCGTCAGGGACTGTCTTCTCTCGCATCTGCCAAGGTACCCGAGGTCATGAAATAGGCGTGGTTGGCGATCACCTCACCAAACACAGACATATCCGAGAGCACCCACTTATCTGCTTCAAGAGAGCCGGAAACCAGACGCCCGACCGCTCCAACCACAAGCCCTAAACTGTAGCCGGTTATCCCTAAACAATGATCTCAGTAACATCCGTAACAGCGCGAACACCCAAAGCCACATGCTACATCCTGAACTGATCTCCGAGGCCTTGAATCCCTAAAGCCTCAAACCCTTACTTCGACCATCACACGGCTGAGATCCAAGCCTCCGCCTCAAAGACGGTGTCTGCAGGAGCAAAGGTTCCTTGCACAGCATCTTAGTAACGGCTTGCTGCTGAGTTTGGGGGAGCAAGAGGTGCCCTGTAGGCAGTTGTCTCGGGGTCGGCACAGATATACACGGGAGTGAGGGTTTCATGGATTTAGGCTCAGGGCATTAAGCGTTTGTGGCCTTTCTGCGCTTTTCGGTATAGCCCTCTACGCCTTTACGTCCTCGGAACATACAGTCACCCTTTGTTCACTGCATGGACGGAATTTGACAGCAGTACTCTTGGAAAAGTTCTGCATGGCTGACAGGGGTCAAAGATGGTCAAAGTCTCACCCGGTACCATCATGAAAAATGGCACTTTAAACTTGAAACCGAGCGGCTCTGAGTCAGAGCCTCGGTAGCCAAGTTCTTGGCGGCCTGGAGGTTCCCGCGGTCGTCCTCGGCTCTTCTCAGATAGGGGTTTCGGATTTTGGACTTAAGGCTTCGGGTTGTGGGGTCTAGGGCCGATCCATGTGTCAAGATTGAGATGCTGGAGGTCTTGAATTCTGGAATCCGCCAAGCCAGAATACTGCGACCAGTTCACCAGAACATTGAACAACCGGTCGACGCCTTGACACCAAGACAAAGCAACAAAGGAGTACACCGAGACACCCAGACAGCACAATGGGCACTAACTGGGGATACTGGTGCACCGAGACACGCGATAGTTGGGACACCGGGATGCACGGCGTTTCGGACACTGGCACACATACAGTATGGTAGTCAGTGTAACCACGAAAACCCAGGCAGCGATGTGGAAAATTGCAACAGCAAGGGTGAAAAGACAATACACAAACGACACAGAATGAAAGCTATGATGACGAACAGGAAGCTAATCATGCCAGTATAACTCTGGTAGTGATCAGAAAAGGATTCTTCCGCTAACGACCATGAGACAGTAAGAACATAGCTGCAATGGTAGTGGGATAACAGCAGGAGCAGCACCATGCGGAGCAGCGGCAGCAGAAGTAGGACTAGTAGTAGTAGTAGTAGTAGTAGTAGTAGTAGCAGCAGTAGTAGTAGTAGTAGTAGTAGTAGTAGTAGTAGTAGTAGTAGTAGTAGTAGTAGTAGTAGTAGTAGTAGGTGGGGTGGTGGTGGTGGTGGTGGTGGTAGTCGTAGTCGTGGTAGTAGCAGTGGTAGTAGCAGTAGTACTAGCAGTAGTACCAGCAGCAGCAGGAGAAGGACTCTTACTAGTATTATCATCATTATTTGTAGTAGTAGTAGTAGTAGTAGTAGTAGCAGTAGTAGTAGTAGTAGTAGTAGTAGTAGTAGTAGTAGTAGTAGTAGTAATAGTAGTAGTAGTAGTAGTAGCAGTAGTAGGAGGAGGAGGACGAGGACGAGGGATAGCAGGAGAAGGAGCAGTAGCGGTTGCAGTACAAGCAGAGATAGCAGCAGTGGCAGAAGCAGCAGTGGTAGGAGTGGTAGCAGCAGTAGTACCAGTAGTCGTCGTGGTCGTAGTGGTTCGAAAAAGAGCAAGCACCATCACGTCAACCGAGTACAGAAATAAACCAAGAAGTACATTCAAAAACGTGCAAGAATTCGGGGAGCCGCATACTGATAATGGTCGCCAGTCTCGGACGTCGGGTTTAGGGTTTGTGGTTGCGCGTTTGTGCGTTCGACACAGCAAGTTGCTCATGGCAGCTCTCCTCAGCCGCCAAAGTCTAGGGTCAGAGAAGTAGTAGTAGCGGTTTCTTGAGGTTACCTGAACTAGCGATCTTCGTGACAAACCGGTCAATTCAAATTAAGCCGTCCATGCGTTGTGCTCAGGCTGATGGCCTCCCAACATCGGCCCCATAAGACTCTCCAGCCAAGCTGCATAACGCAACAGCTCATCCTTCACGAAGGTCATCTCCTTTAAAGCAGGAGATGCTGGAAGCTGGACGGCCGCATTGGCTCTAGTTTCTCTCTGGCTTGCGTCGAAGCATGCGACTGAGAATCTGGTACGTCCGTTTATTTGCCAGAACACGCCCTGCAGCTCACACGCATCCTGCTCTTTAGACCGAGCCTGTATTGCACGGCTTAGGATCGAGACTTGGGTCCACTGCGATCTCGTATGGCCGTGACTTGATAGCAATAGAAGACTGTCGGCAGGTAGAGCCAGTAATCATCCGACCAAAGCAAACAAAGTAGTAATCGTGTTTGATTTAATGATGGTGGGGGTAGTGGTCGCGGTGGTAGTAGTCGTCGTAGGAGTAGCAGTAGCCGTCGTCGTAGTCTTGGTGGTGGTGGTCGTGGTGGTGGTGGTGGTGGTGGTGGTGGTGTGGTGGTGGTGGTGGTGGTGCAGTAGTAGTTGTCGTCGTCGTTGTAGTTATGTAGTAGTTGTAGTAGTGATAGTAGTCATAGCAGCAGGCTGCTCCGACTACGACTACCACCACTACCACCACCACTCAGTAGACAAGGGGTACTAGCAACCAGTATCAGCAGGAGTTGGAATAGGAGTTGTCAAGTCTTCGCCCCCACCGTATCAGCGGGAGGAAATTACTGAGGCTGCATGTTGCAAACGAAACTTCCGCACCTCAAGGCATCTCTCGTACATCGCATATTGCCTGAGGGCCGGCTCAGGGTTGAGGGTTCAGGTTCAAGGATGCGGGTGCAGGGCTTTAGGCTGTCTGAATCACCAGGCCGGACCCCGGCTTTCTTCTTGTGTCGAGTTGCAGCTCTCCACGCAGGGGCTTGGACAATAGCTCCAGAAGTGCAACCTGGGAATCCGCGAGCCGTGCCTGGGCAAGCAGATTGAAGAACGGATTTATGGGAGTTTAGGCAGTTTAGCTGTCGGAACATAAGCAGCACCAAGATAAAAATTGGCATCATGCCAAAATTCACATGTACCTGGCATTGAGGTTTAGAAGACCAGGAGCAAGTAAACCAGAACCCCTTCTTCGCTGCCCTGTGGCCTGGCGAAGGCTGTAGGCATCCTGTAGGAAGCCAGTAATTCGAAGGCTGAGGTCCTCGTTGATGTGATGCTGGTTCAAGTACTTCCTGGGAGACAGAAGCTGAGGCAGCAAAGACTTTGTGCCGAATAACATCTTGAACATTAATTTACTCCCTCTATCTCGAAGACTCTACACGAACAGCCACATCCGCAAATCCCTCAAAAAGTTTAGAAACATGCAACCTTTTTGCATCCGCACAGCAAGCGCCGAAGTGTCATCTGAAGATAAAAACGGCTACTGTAAGCACCGTCCGGCCTCAGCTGGCGAAACTGGTGTTTGCGCTCCTCTGAAGCCTTGTTCAGCTGATTCGTGAGGCTCGTGATGGCACCTGGGATTGGGGTTTGGGGAGTTTACAGTCTATAAGTTTAGGAATTCGTGTTCAGAGGACTCAAGGCTCATAGCACGTGGCACAGTCGAAGGATGCATGCGGCCAACACACCGAGAAGTGTGGAGAAGACGACCAGCGCGAGGAACGCAACCTCGCGACTCGCTCAAACAAACTTGGAGTTCACGACGTTAAAAACCCAATAGCGTTGAAATGCGCACACAGCTCCGGGAATTGTGTGTCACTGACAGAAAGCAGTTTTGGCCCTTTGGGTTGTCAGAGGTTTAGACGCCTAGCCTCAGAATAAACTTTATCGTTCTTCTTCTTCTTTGACTCGGCAACTCGTGCCATACGCTGGCGAGAACGTGATGTTGAGGAGGGCATGGACACGGCATAGAGAATCACTTTGGCCTGTACACCGCTACTCAAACTCAAACTGGAGGTGATACTCTGAGACTCTAATAGTGGCAATACGAAGATGCACCTTGCCGATAGTCATGAATGCTAATGCCGGTTTTGCTGCTACTTCGGATCCTGAGGGAACTACCTGCAATGGTACAGGCGGTTCTTCTTACATGGTTACTAAGTAATGATTACTAGCTAAATCGCAACATCAACAGACGGTAAAAGATCATTGGTTTCCAGCAGATTCGCAAAACAGGTGGCTTCACTGTTGGTATCTCAATAACCGTCTCTTGATGATAGTGGGTTCAACAAGCGGATTGATGTGAACCACGAATAAGATATTGGGCATCTCCACCGAGTATACATACGTGTAGCTGACAAAGCTCTTGTTCTGCCGGTATGAAACTACAGCTAGTAAGTATACGCGAAATATCTTGTGCCTGTTGGACAGGGAAAATGCTTCAGCGAGGCAGCAGAGTGATCTCAGGTTGTGTTAAGAGTGTCCGGAAGGGATCCTAACACAACTTTCGACGGGAGATGCAAAAGTTATCCTACTGATTCTCACGTAATACAGCCTCTTTCCTACGGATTGAAAAGCACGCGAACGCCAGATACATAATTAGTGATCTTGGATTGTGGGCCTGGCAATGCTATTTGTGCATACCCATTTGTTCCTTACTCCTTATGGATTACGTGTATATGTGTATGAGCACAGTGCCGACGCAGATGTGCGGGCATATACATACAGCGGGTGTGTGCGTGTAAGTACATGAACACACAAACTAACCATAATAACATCTACAGACAGATACATCTAGCACAGACACGTTCTTTCTCTACTACTTATCCCTGTTATGTTATGAAGCCGAGGATTTTGTTCGACGGCTTTTCTCTTTGAGGTAGCTGCGCTGCATAAGCCCGGTGCCAAGCTAGCCACCTTTGAATGAACCCTCGGCAGTCGGATGTCCAAGCGGCAATGAGTCCGTAAACACGCTCCAGCGTCGTGTTCCCCTAGCAGGAAAGGAGGATAGAGAGTCTACACAGCTCCAATCGAGCCATCGAGCGAGAACTGATCTACCTAACAGGAAAAGATAGAAATCAAACCTGGAACAAACCTGCCGACCTGCACAGGCCTGTAGCCTTGGCGATGATGGACCTATGCATCACATCATGCCGCATCCAAGATGCCTCAATGCCAGTGGATCCGAAGCCCAGCTGGCAAAACATCCAGTGCAAAGATGTCGTATACCTTTGCGGCAGCTCTACACCCAACAACGAAAGCATCCAACATGACCTCTATGGATGCAAACGAGTCGAAGCTGCTTCAGGGGCATTTCAACTTTCCACAGCTCTCAGTTGCATCTACAAGGGAGGGCAGGGTATCGGTAACGCTGACCCTGAGCACTTCACCTCGCCTGTAGTCCATGTCTTTCTCGGAATAATCGAATTGGCTCACCCAGCCTGCACACAAACGACTGATTGCTTGGGTTGAGGTTTTAGGGCTTGGAGCACAGGGTTGAGGGTGCTCATTGTAAACCGCGGACCGAATGTCGAGGGGCAGGTCCCTGATTGCTGATTGCGGAAGTTGGATCAAGACGTCCCCAGTCCCCGACTTGACAGTCAACACAGCGCCGCCGCGGACTGACCTTCGTCTGAGACCACGCCAACTTTGTACCAGATGCAGGCCTCAATAGTGGCAGGTAGAGTGGGGTGTTCAGAAAGTGAGGTTCCCTTGGAGGTACGGCAAAGCAGCTGCTTGGAGGTTGCAAACCCTACTTTGGCAAAACAGCGTGGAACGCACAGACAGAAATGGAAGGCTGTGAGTGACCGTGAAATCTCCGTGCAGTGTAAATCTCAAGACTAAGCCGCAAACCCCTAACCTGGAAATCCCTGAACTGAAACCAAAAGCGCGCACACCCCAAAGTAGACCAACAGATCTTGTTTACAGTCGTGGAACTTGGGCAGCACACGCCTCGGCACAAACGAAGTACTGCAGACAGGGTGCCATCACATGCTGCATAAGCAGTATCCTGGGCATCACATGCATAACGTGTTTAATCGGAATCTTGGGGTGTAGGGCTTACGGTGGAATCAGGTTGGTGAGGATTAAAGCTTGCATCCACCGGAACTGCCCGTAGACCATGCGTTGAGCTTGTGCTGCAGACATGGTTCTGGCACGAAAGGAGAAAGATCTTAGCCTTGGCGATTGCGGTGTCCGAGTTGAGCCTGCGGATGAGAGACCTCATTAGTGTTGCACACAGAGATTTCCGGCGCTGATGGCAGGAATTCCATCAGAGCTCATACGGCTGCTGCCAGGCGGCTGCGCAATTCCATTGAGCTTCGCAAAGCGCACAAGACGCAGCAGGAACTTTAGGATAACCACATAATACAGCTCCTGAGTCGTTTCAGGCTCTTTCGCCGCGCTACGCAAATACGCACGTCGCTTGGCATGCACATATATTAACTACATATACACATATATCTACATCATATATATATAGATATACTTATATACAGTACATAACAGGAATGCGGACGATGGGCGCTGACACCAGCAGCTTGCGACAGGACGGCCGCTGCGTAGGAGGCTCTGGAGTCTAAATACCAATCGGCCACGACATTCCTTGGTGTGCGCCGCGCGGTGAAAGGGAAAATGAACCTCATTTTGGCCCCTCAATTCCAACATTTTTGGCCTTATGAAAGCAAAGCGGCGAGAAATCGCAAATGAACCATCCTCAGTTGCAGAGAGCAGAGGGACTTGGGCGCGCGGTGATGGACGCAGCCAGACCCCGCCTCTGAGGTAGCGCTGTGCAATCTTCCTGGCATCCCTGACAGCATAACCGCGCATGTAGAAGCAGGTCCGAAAGTGGACGATAATGTCCAAATTCCAGAAGAGCCTCGAGACGAAAAAGAATGAGACTGTCTGTGCCATGTCTAGCAAACCGTCGCACTCCACCCCTGCAGCCAAGGGTGCTGGATGATCCATGAGAGGCCGATGAGAAATGGGGTAGGCACCATCCCATCAAAGACGTGCAGCGGCAGGAGAATCCTAGGCACGAAGGGGGCCAAGACCGAAGCTTGCAACAACGAATAACAAACTACCAGAACTGCAAGTAAGTACATCCTCGTCAGCCGATCATGACCGAATCGAAGACAACTAGTTAAAGCACATGCAAAAAAGCCCCCCAAACCCCCTAGACCCTAACCCGTGAACCGTAAACAGGGCTGCTCATGTACCAGTACGGTTTAGGGTTTAGGGTTTAGGGTCAGTACCAAGGGGCAGCTCCACCGTCAGGATGAGAATGTTGATGAAGTCCCAAGTCGTCCTGTCCCATCCCAGGCTGTTCTTGGGAGTTGAAAATGGACAACAACTAAACTCCAAACGACAGATCCTAGATCCGAGACTAACGACGAGGACAGCAATAGTAACCAGCGGTAACAGTAATCACCAACTTGCTTTAGAGGTTGTCAGACATATGTTTGTTGCCATGAGATTGGCTAAGAAACACATGCATCAGCATCCCCCCACTTGAACTCCACGAAGGATCCTCTTCGAAATTACCGCAAAAAAAGCAACTTGCAGCCAGTGAAGCCAACCAGGATTACTGCAGTGATGACTTGGATACTTTCCGACAGTGCACGCAGAGGCGACACAGGCAAGATGTGCACGATGGGTTTCAGACAGGTGCCGCACCTGAAGAAGCCAGTGGGCATGAACACGAGCCTGAACCAGCAGGCAAAGCTGTTGTGCAGGAACTTCAAGCTGTAACCAAGGGAACGTGCTCCACCTACAACCCCCTCCTCGCACACCCCTGGATACCTATTTAGCCGGGCAGCTTGGGCAATAGGTCGGAGAGGGAACTGAGTCTGCTGGTCGACCGTCGATTCCTTGTCACACAGTTGGTGGTTCAGAGATCGCAGAACAAGTAACATGCATCCACACACACGCCGACGATTGAGCAAAGTCTCTGCAAGCTGATCTCGTCCGGATCCATATGACTGTTCACCGTCACGGCGGCTGAGCACACTGCACATGGAAGTTTCTTGCACGCACACCCAGTCTCGAGACTTCAAACTCACGCGCACGTAGGTTTGTACTCTCGCAATTTAAGTGGCATGCTCCGAAAGACGAGAATCCTGATCGATGCCGTTGCTAGGCTCCGATGCTCTGGGCTCCAGGCGTTTTCGCGTGGAGGCCCTTGCCTTGCTGCTACTGCGCTCGCCGCCGCCGGCCGCAGACCACCTTACATGTGTGGCTTTGCTTTCGGGATCGAAGTCGAACGATAAACTTGACCAAGCAGCTCAGCCCTCGGGCAGAAGCAGGGTTCCTCATCCTCATCATCATCATCGTCCAGGCTTGGCAGCTTTTGCTTCCTCATCAAAGCGATGGGTGCATCTGAGGCACATGAATAGGCCGAAGCCTTTTCGCTTCGGGTCAAGCGGATGCAATTTGGGCGACAGTCAGTGAAGATCAACCGACGGTGTATATGCAAGCCATTGCTCAGCAAGCCATGTCACAGCGCTACTGCTACTTCATCTCTGTCGGTGGCTGACGAAGTGCGTCGAAGACTCAAGTGGGGAATAGCGTGGCGGTCGAAAAGGTCTTTGTAGTCCTCACTGCAGTCGGGAAGTGAAGTGAAGTCGTTAACGCCTTCGGTGCCCTTTCGAACGCCACATCATGGCATCAATTGCAACCCACCAAAACGGAAAGTTTGACTCCAAAACCCTCCCCAAATCCTAGTCTCTGAGCCCTGCCCCGCGACAAGCAAACCTTGTAATCGCCCGAAGCCTTACACACAGAACAGCTGCACCATCCCTAAACCCGAAACCTCAAAACCACAGCCAAAGCATGAACACTCCAGTTTCCCTGCTTGCACCCTATAAAACAAAGAGAGCGGTCGACTGTGGGGCCTGGGTTTGGTTTCAGTGCTTTTTATCGGGTTTCAACGTTAATGGCTCCAAAGCAGGAGCTTGTGTTTTGTGTCGCGTAAAGCACATACCACAAAGCAAGCATCACAAGTGTTTTTCGGAACAGCTTATTCGAGCTGTGCAAAATCGCTCTCCAACAGGCTCCACACCAGTGTGTAGGTCGAGCCTCTTAATCTGGGTTCTTGTGTAGCAGATCTTACAAGTAGAAAACGCTGTAAATATCGATGAATTCAAGACTCCAGACTCTCTAAAGAACGTCTTAAGGTAGGCTACATAAGCTCGACAGTTTCTCTATGCAGCTCTGATAATCGGGCCTTTAAGACTCTGGACTGTCTACCCAAAGCAAGCTTAGCCAACACCGCTGTTGGTAACAGTGTTTGAAACACCAATGTAGAGATTCAGCCTAATTAGCTGTCGAATTGCATTGGCATAGGGTTAACGAAATGTGGATGCACATAAGTGCCCTTGTTTTTGCGCGGTCAAGCAAAGTAAAGATGTGAGCGGGTTCAGCCTATGTACCTGTATAAAAAGACTACCAAAGACAAACTGTAATCGATGAAGATCTGGCTGCTGTCCTAGACTGGAATCCTACTTGTGTTGATGCTTATCCGATTCTGGCTTCTTCCGATACCCTTGTTCATAAGGTACCCTGTACCCCTTCGAAATAGCCAGTATTTGGATCAAAATCATTTGGATTAGTGAAAAATGCTGCACTGGATACCGGGTCGGTTCCAAGCCATAACGGATCGTCCTCGTATAGTTCCTCAAACCGGTTTGGTCCAGGCCGTAGCACGCTCTCCATCCCTACACATAGCCTTACAAGAGATTTCGTATAGTTGAAATACTAAACACAAACATCTTGTGGTTTCACTCGATGAGCCTGGACGTATCAGCCGCACGCTGCTGCAGTGCGTTTATCTCTGTATACACAAAAGAGAAACACACGGGCCCGATTTCTGTTGCGCTTAAACGACCCACATGTTTACAAACAACCCGCAAGTTTATAAGCAAGGCCCGGTATTTATAAACAACCCGTGAAAGTGTTCATAGAAGGACAAGCAGTACTCACCGCAAATACCAGTGTTTATTGATTTCAATTTATCCAACCAGGTCTTGGGGTATCTCACATTAACTCCACACTTTCCTCCATTAAGAAAAAGTTTTGTGACCAGCACTTAAGACTTGAGGGTTGGCGTCAATTGGGAATGGCTGCGCGCGTCTCGGGCGGATGGTGGATTGGTCGGCGGTTGTACCTTGTGGTGAACGTGCTGGTGGTGAGGGGGGGGGAGGGGGGGGGTGGCAGGTGTTGGATGTTGCCCGCATCATACCAAGACCTCTGGCGCCCCCCCCCCCCCCTACCTCGAGCGAAGCGTTTGTTTATAAACAGCGCCTGTGTTTATAAACAGCCGTCGTGGAAATAAACACAGCAAAGGAAAACCAAAACAAATTTGACAAGCCAACACACCGCGACAAGAATCCATGACAAGAATCCTTGACAAGGCGATACAGACATCAATCAATTCAACAAAAGATGCGTGAGCAGAAGGTTAAGAGCAGCAAGTAAGCATCACGAGACCGATCCAAAGGCCTACGTAACTTCAAAAACTCCTTATACACAAACGCAGGCCCCAGGATCGACCCTTCTGAAAACAAACCCCTAAACCTTAAAACCCTAAACCCTAATCCCTATCCCTAAACCCCAGCCCCTAAACCTTAATCCGCGGCCCCACTTTTTTCAAGCACAGCCTTGGGCTGCAGGGCCGCCAAAGCTTCCTGCAGTGATGAAATGAGGGACGGATGTAGAGATTAGGGTTTAGGGGTCGTAGGGTTCAACGCTTAGAGTTTAGAGTTCTGGGTTTAAGGTTTAGGGTTGAAAAGATTTCGGCCCTGGTCTTCATACTTTCTTTACTGAAAGCTTGCGGAGCCTTTCTCACCGTTTACGGTTAAAGGTGAGGATTTCCTCATCTCGAGGGATACTGTTTGGGTGGCAGATCCTTCGGATGATCAGTGCTATGGTGCACTTCAAAATCAAATGGAATCTCCCTTGTACCCGATGCGGCCGAAAGACCTATGCATGGCACAGATCATGACCTCTGTCTTGCTACCGAATCACAAGCCTGATGAACTGACGAGGGGCCTTACAATGTACCGAAGCGTGGGACTCTGTTTTGCATTCACTGGTTCATACAATTATCATTTGTGGATCAAGGTTTTTCTGCTTGTTAATCCCCTCCCCCATCATGAAGCCTCACGGTAATGGTAATGTTAAGCAATGTTTTCGGACAACGTTTGGCTCGGAATGTGCCGAAAGACAAACTCAAAAAGGGCCGCAACTGCTGTACAATCAAGAGCCCATTGAAGAGAGACTGGGGATCGCCCACGGGTTGAAAGAAAGTTGGGCCCATGACTAACTACTTAATTGACCTGCATCGAAGCTCTCTTTCTGTCTTTCCCGAGGGCTTATAAAGGGTCCAAGTATCGGAACTCCCTGTCCCTCTCTCTCTCTCTCTGTCGCTCTTGCTTGCTTGCTTGCTTGCTACCGGGCGTGAAGAAACTGCAGCGTCCAGGCAGCTTTTCCGTGCGCGAACGCACCCCCGCTTGATGTAGCAGGGTGTCCATTTCCCCCTAGCAGTTTGCGCTAGGAGGCTCAGTTGTACAGGAGCACGTATCCCCCGACAGAGCTTCCGAAAGACTGGTCCCGTCAGCAAACAACATAGACCTACTCAACATGTTCCCCGCTCCTGACGTGGTTACGTTGTGGCAAAGGACTCCGACTCTTTACAGGCCCCAGCATGTGTTGCTTCCCCCCAGCATATTGCCAGAAGGGTCGACAGTACCGGTGCTTGACTAGCGAGACGACAGCAACAAACTAGCAACCTCCGTGCAACATACTTCCTGCTCACGTCGTGGCTGCATTCAGGAAAGGGCTACTCCAAGGATTTCCATTGTAGGTGCCGTTTCGGCAGTGCGGGCAAGGGTTCGTCGTGCACTTTGTGGGAGAGGGGGCACTGAAAAACAAGGAAAGAACACAACAAGACAGAGCAACTGCATCACAAAAGTGGTTAGCAGACAGTTCCCCCTGCTACAGCGGTCCTATAGGGCTGTACAGCGACGGCAACTTCAGTTGAAGGCTCACGGGTGTCGTCGCTTGAGAGGAGGACGGTCAGGGCGGGCACCTGCTGGATGTTGACGTTCTGTGGGGGAAAAAGCACCAAGGGTGCAAGAAACTTGGCCGTGTGACCGCGCTTGGGACCTGGTGTTCGATGCAGTCACGCCAGAGTCACTGCGGCGAGGGTGGGAACTTCCGGAGCAAGTGCCCACCAAGCAAGAAGACGTACGGGGAGAAGTACCTTCCGCATCTACGGGGCCTACAGCAGGGGGAGACCTTGTCGACAAAGTCCTGCAAGAGCTCAAGAACAAGGACGACGAAGAAGGGCTTGAGGAAATCCAGCCAGAAGACGGGGGAGCCATCGTGGACCATGGTGCCCTGCGGGCTGGGACGGCAAGAGGCGAGGAGATCCAGAGAGGCCTCTCAGCCACACGCACATTCGTGCGCGACATGATGGTCAGACTACTAGCTGCACAAGCACGCCCTCCGCCAGCGGGGGACCTGCCTCCGGAACAAGTTCCAGAAGCAGACGAAAACACCGGGGGAAGGCTCAGGGCAAATGTCCTGCGCATTGCTGCCGAAGCTGACCGCCGTGTGCCACGTGCTGCAGTCGGGGAGCGCCAACAGATGGTAGCGGCGGTGTGACGGGTGCCGCCGTGTTGTTCGTCAGGTAGCCACACTCACTCTCGGTGCTGATGAGGGAGGGAGTCTTGGGCATCCCCCCCATCTGTTTCGTTCCTCGCTTCTGCTCTGCTTTCCTCCCCCCCAGACCAGTCCGGCTCGCCCTTGACATGTGGAGGAGGTTGCGCTGCAGGTGGAGTGCGAGTGTCTTCCCTTGCGGTGGCCAGTCCCCCTTCCATTGTAGGCTCCACAGGGACTTCGATGACGACTTCCCCGGTGCTGGTGGTGATTGAAGGAACTGGTCTAGCTCTGTCCTGCAAGAGCCTTCTTAAAGCACTGAGCAACGGGAAGTATCAGCCCCGTATACGGCCAATTGTACAGTGAAAACAACATGTCGACTTAGGGGACTGTTCTATAGAGGGGTTATGCAATGTAATTCTGCTGTGTTCTGGCAGCAGGAACTCATGTCTTCGGTATGGCACACTGCCATCTATCTTACTGCTGCTAGTAGCTATTGTAGAAGTACGACTGTAGTTATTCCTGGTAGGCCGCTCCGCCTGAAGCTTGGCCGCGGTCTCCCTCGCCTTGTTATCGCCGGCTCCAGGGAGCATCTGCCTGGAGGCAAAACAGCGGTTTTGTGAAGGTTTTTGTCAAAGTGGAGCCGTTTTTCCAAACTACTCGTTTCAGGATCCCGGAAAGACCTGCATGAGTACTAGTAGCAGCTTGGTACCTATCAGAAGAATCCCAAACAAAACTACACTCCGGAGAAGCTCTTGCAGTCTATGGCAGTTCAGGCACGCGAGATCACCAACTTCGCCAAGAGCCACATAATCGGGGTTCATCCCCGACAGGAAGGAAGCAGAGCCTGAATACTGAAAACGACATGAGTCTGTCGTCAAGCGGTACGTTCAGGTTGAAGAAATTCCTGTTTTCGCCGAGGGGCTCATGCATCGTTGTCGACTCTTCCCCATGATGCTGTCAACCTCGGGCGCCAACCAAACAAGAGTTACACGGTTTACGGACCAAATGTGAAGGTTGTGGGGCAATGGGGTCCAAGGTTTCGAGTTTGTGGATTTGTGTAACTCGCGATGCGGCGATCCAAAAAAACTGCCCCGCCCGGTTCATCGCAGTGTGTCGCGATCGACTTCAAACCGACAGAAAGAAACTACGGGACTCGAACCTTTCCTGACAAGCGACAGTGGCACTCCGCCGTTTGCTGCCGTTCACGGGCGAAGTAGACGGCGGACTCAGATCACACGAGCACAACATCCACAGAACGGCCGAGAACATGATGGAAAGCTTAGATAGTTGAAGTTCTGCTGGTGAAGACAACATTCCCAGCTTGATTGAAAGCTTGCAAATGAACTGGCTGCAGCTGGATCCCCTGCTGCGAGGCGTCTTATGCTGGCAACACCATGAACTCCAAGCTGCCTCTGCGGTCCCATTGGCACGGACAGCTGAGTGCCTGCCGATGGCTTTGCTATATAAGTGCATGTGTGGTGCGCGTGTGCGCTGCATGCTCTGCGTCTCTGCCAATCTGCCTGCCTGTCTGCATTCTAGACTCATGCCTGCAAGCCAGTGTGCCTGCCTACCTGCATGCCTACCGGCCGAGCAAGCTTTCCCCTTGGGTATTTCTGTTGCATGAAATTGCACGCGTTGTGCTTGTGCTGTGTGCCTGCATGGCTGGCGGACTGTCTGTCGGTCCGACCGCCTCTGTCTGTCTCCATCTGCCCTACTTGTCTCCATCTATCTTGCTATGTATTGGTCTGGCTGCTTGTATGTGTGTTTGTGTTTGTGTGTATGCGTCTGGGCTTGCTTGCCTGAGGCCGTGTGCACGTTTGTGTCAATCTGCTTGCCTCGCCTGTGCAGACTGTAGGCCATCTAGGCAAGACATCGACACATGCATACATACATATACCTACATTCATACATACATGCATACCTGAATGCCTTCCTACATGTGCATTCATCTCCGCATCCGTGCTTGTATATTGGGTCGGGTGCTCGTAGTGTATAATATCCACACACACAGTAACACAAACACACGCTCACACACACACACACATGTTTATCTGTGTTGACGTGTCTGTGTCAGCGTTGGTGTTTGTGTCTGTCTGTCCTCGTCTGCCTTTCTGTGTCAGTCTCGCTCTTTCACTGTTTAGCTCTCGCTCGCACTTTCTCACCATCTCTGTCTTTCTCTAGTTTGCTTCTATACATCATTCTGCCTTTCTCTGCTTTGGTGTTTCTTTCGTTGTGTCGGTGTGTATGGCTGTGTGTCTTTAGTCATTTTGTGACTGTTTCTTGTTGGCTTTGTGTTACTGTCTTGCTTCCCTATGTTCTTTCTGTTGTTCGGTCGTTGTTTATTACTCTTTGCGTTTCTTTCTTTCTTTCTTTCTCATGCACCCCGCGTCGCAGACTCGATCCTGCTTCAAATCAACACCCCTTTGTCAAGTATGGTCAGCAACGGAACACCCAGCAAGAAACACGTGCCCCTGGAACAAGGCAATAGTTGACGAACAGATGACGCTCTCGCTCAAAGATCTCTTTCGTCTGTTCTCGTTTCAACTTGGTAGCTACATCTCCCTAATCCGCAAGTCCAAAGCCCTCATGTCAAAAACTCTCGCCTCCGACGCTGAGCCTGGACCCGCTGCGCTGAAGCAAGGCGCCCAGTGATGGCCGCGAAAAGCCTCCTGAGCCTTAGTCGGCATCGCTGTCAAGAGCATTCTTATGGCTGTTCATGACGACTCCTACAAGTAACACCGAAATCGTCAACAACATCAACAACGTAATCATCCTCATCATCATCAGCAGCATCATCACGGTTCAGGTAGTCAAGGTCTTCGATGTCAGGCGTGCACGACTGCGACCCGTGACGCTCGCGTTCAGAGGACCGTAGGTGCAAGAAGCTGATAAGACTCCTCCAGTGAACCCACATGTGCAATCGACGAATAAACGAGCACATAAAGCCAAGCACCGCTGCAAGCACTCTCCCCCTCTCTCTCCCTCTCTGTCTCTCTCTCTCTCTCTCTCTCTCCCCCTCTGTCTGCACGCCGGCTGTCCGAGGCTCAACGTTGCTCAGCACGCGCGAGAAAACTCTGTCTTGCTGCAAAATGTAAAACCCAAAGCCGGTAGGTCGGCGTTCGAATTGAAGGTAATGCTGCTTTGTTCGTCACGGGATCTCATACCATAACAGCATCTTTGCATGTTTTTTCGACAATCCAGTTGACGCTTGAGTTCCCGACTCGCTATGGATGTGTTGAACCTGTGGTCTATCCGTACCTTGTTTAAAGGGTATTTGTTTCATAGGGTCGTCCGGAAGAAACCTCAAGATGTGGCCTAACAGGGTGAACTGAATGTAAGCTGTTTCCATCTGGCTGATGACTTGTCATGCTGATACTGTGCTCGTAAGTGCAGTTCGCTTATTGCTTTTCGATTGGTCCATTCGCTGTCGATATGTGCAGGCGTAAATTCGATACGCCAAGTTGGTTTGCCAAAGCATTACGACTGCAAGCAAGCCTAGCTGAAAGCATGCACCATGAAGATCCTCGGAGTCTCACGGCTTTCAGCCATTCGAAACAATCCTTCCAGTTCAAGCCAACACATAAAGTTCACCCAGTCAACACGGTGCCGCTGAGTCGAACGACATTTGATTGCTTCCCGTACATAGCCTCGAACGTGACACCACAAATAAATGGAGTTTATGGTGTGAGGAAGTTCAGTTAAATGAGGTCGCGAGGACTTCCGCCTGTGTATATAATCTCGAACTGGACGAACATGCTGCATCGCAGACGAAGCCAGTTCAGTGCTTCACGTAATTGCTCAAGACTAGCACCATCGATTCTGTCATGGCTGCTGTTAGCGCAGTGCAGCCTAGATGCCGACGCCTTCCTGCTGATCTGGTCGCTCACTCCGATGCAGCTCCGCAATGGAATCATCATCCTCGGTGGCTCCGCCGGATGTTTATGCGGGTTCCTGAAGGGTTCGGGGTATCAGGTTTGGATTGGGATTGTCAGCCTTCGGTGCTTGAGTCCCTGGAGTCTGTACACAAGAAGGGGACCACCATGATCTTCGTACCAAACCAGATCTCCGTACATCACTACGGCTCGTACCAGGATTACGTGGCATACGGATTGGCCGTCCGTTGGACCGAGAGCATCCGAGCGGCAGAGTCTTCCTCTTGGCGTGGCTCGCCTCTGTCTGTCGTAGCCTCGCCATAGAGCCGAGTGACTAGATAGATGTCTCAAGATGTCATGAAACATATATATATATATATATGTATAGATGGAATGTAGCTTAAGCCAGTGGGGAAAGGGGGCGCAGGCACGAGATCTCCCTTGCGCGTGCGTGTTTCAACAGCAACAGCAGCTAGGCTAATACGCAGTCCTGACCGTGATTCCAATACCGATGACTCTTAGTCCTGCTGGACATCGAAACTCATACAACTCGAGTTCTCGCATGAGCACGAATACTACCAACGATTCCAATACCATGTCCTCATATTGACATTCCTACCAACTACTACCAATGCTCACAGTAACGGATGTGGAGTTCAATTTTGGCCATCATGGTACCTGGTGCCATTAACCCAAACGCCATCAAACACCTACACCCTAAATCCCTCCACCTCAGCGAGCTTGCTTTGCTTCGACGTCAACGCTGCGATGGCATGACGATGGGCCTGTCCAGGATTCTGGGGGTTCGGGGATGTGGGGCCTATTCAGGGAAAAGGCTTGTGCATGCAGAGTTTATAGGATTTAGGTTTCAGGGTTTAGGCTTACGAGGTTGGTGAACCCAGAGCCCTTGCAAGGCCCTAAACTTGACCCCTAAACTCCCGAATGGAACCTCAAACCCTAACCTCCAAACCCCAAAAGCCACATGACCCAAAACGCCAAACCTGATGACCCAATAGCGCAAGACTCTAACACTTAAAGGACCTAGAACGCCAGGCCGTTGACTACACAAACCTAAAACGCCAAGAGCATTGCTCCCTTTTCGCGAGCCAGACCTCGCCCAGGCGTGCATAAAGCTTCCAGAAGTCCTCCGGGCACTTGCACTGTCGGGTCTGCAAAGGTCTGAAGATCTATAGTGCTTTCTAGGCCCCAGATTTCGGGCTTAAGGTTCCGAGGTTTAGACCGTGATCTTCAACAGTGAGGGACAAATGGGCTTGATGCTTGGGTTTCAGATGTAGGGGGGCTCCATCTGCGCCTCTGGCAAAAGAACATAAAAGATGTTGCTAAAGATGTTGCTACACATCCGAACTGACGTTAAAAGCAACCATGACAGTTCCAGCAACAATGATAACTGCACTCTGGACAGACATAATTTGGCTGAATATGTTCTATGCCGAAAACACAGTGTCTATCACGCCACACAACCGTCAGAAGTCTAGCGGTAGTGGTCATGGCGACAACTGCTGACAATCACCGAGACTGAGAGTAGCAGCAATGCACACATAGTATAGACATTAAGACCTGCTAAAACCCTAAGCCACAAAATCTCCAACTGAATGTAAAGTGCTCCGAAGATTCGGTGTACCTTATTTGGGGGCCCTGATAGCAAGGATCCTGCTATGTAGGGTACTATATGGTATCCCCCTTATAGTAACATGTAGTAACCCATATATAGACCCCCGTTTAAAAGGAACCCTATAATACCCCATATAGTCACCCCTATATTCCCTATACAGACAGACCCCCTTTTAAAGGGAACCCTATATAGACCCCTTTCACAAGGACCCCTTTCAAAAGGAACCCTATCCCCCACTCCTTGCTGTCCGCCGAATCGCCAGCATCCGCCATGCACACAAAAGTGGAGCTCAAGCTCTGCAAGCAGCCACGGTTTAGGGTCTTAGGGTTCACGGTGTAGGGTTTAGCGTTTCAGGGGTTTAGGATCCGGGCTCTAGGGTTTAGGGTAGACTGGCCCTTTTGAAAAGCACGATGTGCACAAAAGTTCGACAAAGTTTGACAAGCTT